AGAGAAACATATTCTTCATGACCAAAGTTGGAATTGAAATAAAAAAGGAAAGTGAAACTTATGCTCGTCACCCTCTCCCTCCGGTCCACATTAATACAAATGATCCCAATACGTATGATTGTATGAACTATTAAAAGATCTTAAAATAAATACAAATGTATTTATTATAAACGTTAGTCCTTAACATCTATCACCATTAAAACATCTTTTAAAAGTTGAACAAACCCCACACAGCTCAGTAAAGTACGGAGCCCTGGAGGGTTCATAGAGAGAAACATAAATAAAACGTGGCCACGTTTTACTTTCTCGTGCGCACGCTTTAGTAACTCGTGCGCACAAGTTACTAAAGCGTGCGCACGAGTTACTAAAGCGTGCACACGAGTTAATAAAGCGTGCGCACGAGTTAATAAAGCGTGGCCTCGTTTTATTTAAATTGAGGGATTCCTGTGTGACTCACAGTATCTGCTGCCCACAGCTGATTTATAGAAGGAAAACCTCCTTCACTTTATGAAATCTCTGCGGCACCAGTGGCCTGTACTACGAAGCAGGATTTGCTATTTACACTATTCATTCATGAAGTATGACGCTGCGCTGTCAGCACGCGTCTCCATGTTTGTCTCCATCGCGTTTGTTAGGGTCAGTTAAGCCGGGTAAATCGAACATATCCAGGTCCAGGGTCTGTTGAACTGGCTTCGTCGTACAGGGCACTGGAGGCAGTAACGTGTAACTCAGCAGAATCTGAGAAGAGCAGCACCAGATGCAAAGAGCTGTGCCTTTTACTGTTTACTTCACTGCGTTTCCCTTCATTAGAACCGCTGAATAGAGATCGAGGCTGCTACGTTTAACCACACACACCTATACACCCATCGAACTACCAGAGTATTCCCCCTCGCTTTATGAAGGAGATGTCCTGTCACCGGGGCGCATGATATGTGTGTGTGTGTGTGTGTGCTCAGTTCCGCTCTGTGTGCGTGTTCGTGTGTATCCGACACCACCGGCATTTGTTTTCAAATTACCACGAACAGCACACGCACACACACAAAACGAGGCCACGCTTTATTAACTGGTGCGCACGCTTTAGTAACTGGTGCGCACGCTTTAGTAACTGGTGCGCACGCTTTAGTAACTGGGGCGCAAGCTTTAGTAACTCGTGCGCACGAGTTACTAAAGCGTGCGCACGAGAAAGTAAAACGTGGTCACGTTTTATTTATTTTTCTCTCTATGAACCCTCCAGGGCTCCGTAGTAAAGACTGTGAGATGTTGACTTTATTTGATCATTTCAGTAAAAACTAACGTTCATATTTCTCTTTGATTATAATACTGATGAACGTTCAAAACAAAGCACTTTGGCAACTTACCACATACGTTTTAAAATGCGTAATAAGCACCGTAACTTTCATGATATAATTTCTCCCATTATCATTTGTGTCCGTGAACGGCCGACTGTTGAGTGACGGCAAATGCTGCGGCTGCAATGCATTGTGGGGCAGCATTTTCTCCTCTCCTTTCTGTTAGGGAGGTCCAGTGGTTCCTAAGCTAAAGGAGGTTATAAAGGAAGTTTGAAACCTCCTTTCCTTTCATTTGGAGAATTGGAACGGCACTTATCATGGCTGCCAGTGACGTACTTCCGGGTCATTTCACTCCGTTAGGAAGGTTCCTAAGCTAAATGGACTATTGGAATGGGCCCCCGCAGTCTCTTCTCCTAAGTCCTTTTGAATTCTCCTATCCACTATCCCTTAACCCCGTGACGTTTCACTCAGAGGTCAAGGAATAGGAGATAGGGTTAGAATTTAGGAGCTAATTTTTGGATTATCGGAACGCAACCCCGCAGTCTCTTCTCCTAAATCCTTTTGAATTCTCCTATCCACTATCCCTTAACCCCGTGACGTTTCACTCAGAGGTCAAGGAATAGACGATAGGGTTAGAGGTTAGGAGCTGATTTTTGGATTATCCGACCGCAACCCTTGACTTCATTGGGCCCAAAAAGACTCTATCCCATTGATTTACAGTAGGAACACTGGCACTTACGTATTCCTTCTTCATATATTCCGTTTGCCGTTATTTAACAGGCGAGGGGTGGAAGTGATTTCCGGCCGTTGGATTCAGTGTAGTTTGTTGTTTATTTAAGAGTACTTGTAAAATACCAAATTGTTGTAGCTGTTAGCATCTGCCACGTCTTGTATGGTTTGCTCTCGCTCTTCCTTTATCCCCTATTTATAGCAGCAGCTAATCCCTGCAACCAGCTGTTCAAATTATTATAACATTATAAGCAGTACACATATATGGCTAATAAATCCGTTTTATAGCCCTTATTTAAATCATTAGCGTCTAAAAGTTGTACAATGTTGTACAAATGGCTCCTGTGGGGATTGCCGACAGTATTGAGTATGTAAGTCGCTTTGGATAAAAGCGTCTAACAAGTGACATGTAATGTAGGCCTAATAAAATGCTCAGCCGTTGCCGGGACGATGAGTGTTGGAGTGGACTGATGTTCTCTCTTCACTACATGTTCACAAACATGGCTGAGCAGGTTGCCAGGCAACACGTTCTCTCACAGATGCCATCCCAGGCCTGATATTAGACAGTCGAGTCAGGAGAAAAATCTCAGTGGTGTGTCGTTTTTTTGTTTTGTGTTTTTGTCTTTCTGATGGGTGGAAAAATGTCATCCCGGGCCAGCAGGAGGAGTCACGCTGACAAACTGTCGGATTGTTGCCAAGGAAACTGGTTCGTAATTTTATCATCAATGTCATGACCTTTTTTTTCTTTTTTTGTAAATAAATGCCCTCCTTACAGCTTTTGAGGACTACCAACCTCAGAGTTTATAATATTTTACTAGGCATGCATAGAAATATATATATAAAGACACACAATAATAATTTCATGTCGTAGACCGCTGTTGGGTTTAAAAAACGGTATTCTCTGCACTAATTCTACTTTCAGGAAGATATTTTAGGACAAAATAACCGATTTAAAAAGAAAAAGAGAAGATTTTTGTTGCTATTTTACCTTCAGTGCTGAAGAAACATTTAAACCCTGACCTGTCAGTGGGGCAAAGAGTCATTTATTTCTTGGTTGCTGTTGTTAAAGCACAATATCTCTTTTTCTTCCTGTGAAATACAGCAAATCTGATATCTGTGTTTGTCGAGGCCTTGGCGTTGTTTGATTGAAGGTGTGTAGTCATAATTGAAAGAAGCAAAGCATTGCAGTATTTATTGTCTGATAACTTCGAACATAACACATTACTCTCTCGCACTGCATCATGGGAAATAAGTGGCAACATGATCATTTAAAACCATTATTACCATTATTTTGTGGCTGCAGGAAAAGGCTGAAAGGATATGACATTTACACTAATTGCTGTAGTTGTCGCTCTCGCTCCAATGTTCTTGTAGGTTGAAATGTGAAGTTCATAACTGGTGATCTCTGTAGTGGGTGAAAAAACCTTGATCGGCCAACAAGGGTAGAAAACTGCTGCCGCACAACTATTTTCTTCAAGTGGAGAAGAATTTCCTCCAAGGCCACATCATTTATGATTTGAAACAGGTGTTTAACTTTTCAAACCTGATGCAAAATCACCAATATATATAGTCTCTTAAGACCAGAAGGAAACATCGATCTCAGGATATGACTAATTACAATATAGACAAAAACACCTAGAACTCTACAAAACTAAATTACCTGTTATTATAGCATGGTGGAAACCTTTAGTACAACACATACAAAAAATGACCAGTGGGCCTTCAAACAGCAGGGTATTTGATTTTCCACTAAACATTAACTGCGTGGTACCTTTGTGAGCCACTGCGGTCAATCTGTTGTGAATCACAGTTATCAGGTTTTAATAAAACTGTGTCTGCACTCTGGTGCAAATGGCATTGTTGACTACAGTCACCCGGGTGTACATAGCAAAATGTATTGTTGACCAGTCAAATAGCATCTGCCTTAATAAAAGACCTGATGTGTAAGGAAAAGGGAAACTCGTAGTTCTTATATTTTAACTTAAACTTTTTTAAGCTAAAAACCCTTTTTCAAGCTTTTGTGAATAGTAATTCAACTTAAAAAAACACTAAGCTTGTTTTCTATTAAAATATCACTTCAAGTGTTTCGGAGAAGACTCTCGCATCCACTACTGAGTGTGAGTGACATCCCTTGATGAAGTGAATTACTAGCCTTGTTATCAGCACATAAAAAGGCAGAACATTGTTCGTAAATTGTAAAGCATCTTTATGGGAGATGAGTGGCAGCAAAGTGCCTGTTTCCATTTCCTCGTTTCTCAATGTTGCATCAAAGAAGCGGTAGCCTTAGACGGTAGACAGTTGGAGATAGATGATGATTAAGATGGAAGTAAAAAATAAAATGTTGAAAGAGATAGTAAGGATAATAAAAGGAGGAGGTGAGGAAAGGTTAGAGTGACTCAGAAACTAGGAGTCGGAGAGAAACGGAAACTCACAATTGACATTTTAAGGCTTTCCCGATTGGCAGAGGCCGACGTTGAGAAGGAATTTATAGCTGAGAGAAGCAGAGGAAAACGAATGTGATAATCTGATTAATTTTGGAAACTTAAGATGTCTGGAAGTGAAGGCTCGAGAACATCTCTTATGCCCCTTTTGATTATAAATTAAAGTAGAAATTCTGAATGGTACAGATTCTAAAGAAGATTATGACTAACAGAGTTGCTAAATTGATGTTCGCTGTATTTTAATCTCACTGTTAACAGCTAATTTGCAAACTTCTAATTGTCAACCGTTTCTTAACCCCAAAACAAATGCATGACTTCATAAAAACAAAATATAAAATATTACAGTACTATTTTCGGCTCTGTAAAGGAGACGCTACTGCAAGTAAATCCAGAAAGTACTGAAGTTAAAAACTTTAATTTTGATGTCAAGATGCTCTGAAGAAGAATCTAATATTTAATCAAGTATTTAGTTTTGAACATAAAAACACAATTAGCTGATCCCATATTGTTCTTTTAACTCCACAAATTATTAGAAGAAGCCTAGCATGTGAAGATGTTTTTATTTCACAAGATCAATTCGAGCATTTGTCACAAAGCTTAAGAGAATGATAGTAACATTTGTACATGAAAACATTTTGTTTTTTCACTCAAATGACCCAGACGTCGCCATTCTGCGACCACCAAAAGGGCCCAGACTACCAGATCGAGGCCAAACCGCAACAGTTTGCAGTAACGTCATTAGAAACAACAACGCAGCATGTTACAAAATGCAATCCAAGTAGGATTGGTTCTCTGGAGAGCTTGTTGTACTCCGTTTGTTTTGTCTGTCGGTGTAAAAACTGGCCTTCGGGGCTTTAAAGTCACAAACATGGTGGCCGACTCCACACTGAAGGCTCACACGCTCTTTTGTCACCGTTAATACTTGCAGTCCTTGAGACGAGCTGTGAACAGAGTCTTTCGGAAATTCCGTGCGGATAAAAGAGGAGAGGTCGACGTGAGCAACAGACAGTTCCCGGGAACCATGGCAACGGCAGGCTGGTACAATAGGTTGTTTCGACACAGAGAAACGAGAGGAGAACCGGGATGAACACAAAGAAAGGGGGAGATAAAAAAAATGGAGGATGAAAGGTGGAGAAACAGCTGTGCTTGTTGCTCATCCTTTGGAATTATTACTCATCCTTTTTTTTCTCCTTCTCTGTTGTTTGAAAGACTCAAACATCGTTACTGTGACACCAGCATGCCTCTGTAACTCAACCACACTGGTGCGAGATGTTGTGTTTAATTTCCTCTTTTACTCCGAGCCGAAAGCCATGATCCCAGCAACAGAGCTGCCTGGGGAATTTAACTCCTGACGCCTTTCGCAGCACTTTTTAGATCTTCAGGGGATTATATCTCTACTACTAGCGCTGTTAGTGCTGTAAAAACTGAGCAGAAAAGGAGGCATCTTTATAGATCTCCTGCTTGAAGGCTCTTTAGAGATAGACCCACTCATTGGTTACTAAGACTTATTTTCTAATAATCAAGGTCTAAACGGCGGTGCTACGACCCAGAAGAGGGAAGGCTGTTGGCAGGCCGCAACTGGGCTCCAGTCCCCTTAGTCCATGAACCCCCTGAAGCCCCTGAATCCCCCCTTGAAGTACTTGTATCCCTCCACTGAGTCCTTGTATGCCTCCACTGAGTCCTTGAATCCCCCCTCGCAGCCCATGTTGAGTCCTGGGCTCTCTCCGGGGCATGGTCGCCATCGTGGCAGCTGCCTGGATGGAGCGGGCCCCCGGCGGCGTGAGGTTGTTGTGGTTCAGGTCTATGTTGGATAAGAGATGACCCAATGAGTCCCAGCGCTGGGATGAAGGCAGGCGAATGAGGGAGGAGTAACCTCGCTCAGGGAATACGGGCGCTACAGGAGGCTTGCTGGTCTCCGTTGTGAACACCGGAGCTGGATCCTGGTGTTCCCTAATGGGTGGGGGCTGTGGGGGCGCAGCTCGGGGCGGAACGGGCTTCAGGTAGGTGCCTCCCCGCGGGTCCAACAAGACCTCACTGTAGGGTGGGGGAGGGTCCTCCATCAGAACTGCCTCCTCATAGCAGGGCGGCTTCCCAAATACGTCTGTGTCTGTAAAAGAAAATATAGGATACTGGATTAAATGCAAAACTCCCAACTCGTCACTAGAGTTTGAAATATAGAATCTTATCTCCTGATATAGGTCAAATAAATAGTAACGCATATCTTTGAAAAGTCCCAGGGTAATTCACCGACAAATGTAATGTACTGAACTATTTATTGGAAACTTGAGGGCAACATTTAAAAACAAAACTGCAATCTTCCAAGTGATTTGAGTGTTGTTGTTCAAATTAATTCAATAGGGGTAATGGGTGTCATGATGTCTCAAAATCTGATTTTTTTTTTTTTTTTTCATTTCAAGAAAATAAGTTATCAAACTTGAATATCACCCCCAAAACATTGTGATAAACTACTTCCTACTGTGATAGTGTGGCAATGTGTTCAGTAGTGTGAACAAAAAGCATCACAGCACAAGCTCTGTGTCCCTCTATCTCTCTCACACACGTTTTATTTTTCTCTTTCACTCCTTCCTATTTTAGGCGCACTTGTTTTCCATCTTTCTGCTTCTCACTGAAGACTGACGCATCATTTCTAGTGGTACTGAGTAAACAGCATCTAAGTCGCGTTATAAAATGTTTTTGCTAACAAAACCATATCAAATGTCAGTGATGACGTAGATTCACGAGTGTCTAAAATTGCCTTTACTTTTATTGTAAGCGAGTCATGAATGGGTAAATGATGGAAAGACATTGTTGGTGCGTGGTTTGACATTTTCAACATTTGTTTTACTCAAACGTACCTAGATTCATTTGATCAGATGTTTGATAGCAGCCATTAAAGACACCCTGTAGACATACATTCAATAGCTATGTTTGCAAGTGTGGCTTAAAATAATGACAGATTCAAAACCCTGCTTCCTGATTCAAGTTTGCAAGTGTTTGCAATACAACACAATTCCAAAGTCTTTTAGTGCAGAATGATTATCAGCTTTTTCCACGTGTGTCCTTTGCAATCTTTCCAGTCAGATGCATGGTACAAACATCAAATTATGTCATAAGAAATATTTAGATTTCAGCAGAATCATTTTTTGAGTAAATGCAAGGGGGTGGTTGAAATGTTTCTGTCCGTCTGTGGTTAGATGATGGTGAATGTTTGTTTGATGGCTGTGTTCATGTTTGTAAGTTAGATAAGAAGGAAAACTATTAAAAAAACTATTACTAAAAGCAGAAAAACTATAAATGTCAGTAGTTGTTCCAAGTCTACGGAAGAGGATTAGGGACACATAAAACATTTTTTGGGAGGATTTGAAAAAAATATGTTTTTTTGTTCTGAGATCAAAGTCCGAATTCTGACTTTTTTTCTCCCAAAAAAATTATGTTTTTTTATTCTCAGGAAAAAAATCAGAATTCTGAGATTAAAGTCAGAACAAACAAAAAAAAATCATGTGGCCCTAATCCTCTTCAGTATAAATCTGTGTTGCAAACTGAAGTCAAAAATGTAAATGTATCCCTTTTTTGTTTCTGGACAGTACAAATAATTGACAGAGCAGATAATAAATGTTGTACTGGAAAGTAGAAAATGTTATTTAACCTGCATTATGTTTATACAAATCATTTCCTGTTGCAAATTATTTGTATAAACATAATTACCGGAGGCTCTCTGAAAATAAACGCATGAAATTACTTATTTTGTTATTCTTGTCTTGATTTGTTTTCTTCTGCACAATGCAGTGGCGGCCGGCCCATAGGGGCGCCGCCCCACCTCTTCCCACATACAATTTTTTTTAAATTTAAAAAAAATATATATATATTTTATATTTTTATTTTTAATGAACAAGGTAAATATCATACAATTGGTATCAGTAAAATGTATAATCTACAATAAAATCTCGTTTAAAATTGTGCCGTCAAATATTTTGGTCACGAGGGCGCTCACGTTGGCGCCCACGTTGCTTACGTGCGTTGACGTGAGTTGTTTTTTTAGACTCGTGAGTGACCAAGGTGACGCAGTAGTTGGATGAGAATGGCTTCGTGTGCAGGTGGAGTCGCCGGACCTCGGTCCGCACCCAATTCCGTGCAAGAGCTACTCTCCAATCCTTTCGAAAGGAGAAGTTTGGGAGATAAATTGATACTTAAAGACCTTGGACCGGACCAACCCGATTTGTATATATCGCAGCAAGCTCGTGAAAAAGACAAAACGTATCAACGAGGCTTCTCACGTAGCTGGTACACCAGAAAGGCATGGCTAGCTGGATGCAAACAGGTAAATGCTGTCTTTTGTTTCCCATGCTTGCTCTTCAAACAGATACGATCTGTTCAGAAACTAGACAAAAGTTAAACAAGTACAAACCACAGACTGTCTGTGTCATGGAGAATACAGTCGCTGGTTTATTTATGTCTGTAGGCCGTTGTTGTGAGTGTGGACGGTCGGAGCATATATAACGTTAGCTTAGCCAAGCTCTATTTAGAAAACACGCATTTTAAAAGGGTTTTTCGCCTGCCGTCTGTCTGCAGACTTGTCAAAGCGTTAATTCATGGTTTTGACTAACTATCAGTATGTTGTTAATTCGGCATCATTTTGAAACGTGTATTACAATTAAATCACGGTAAAATATGTTCATCTTGTTGTAGTTGTAGCCCCCTTGCCAGCGATTCTCTCTCTAGTTTAGCATACTCAGCCCGACTCAGCCTGGTTGTTCCTGGCCCTAGAACCACGATTTTATGGGGCCAGAAAAACTGTGAATTAGGACCCGCTAGCCGGTACTAGGCCAAGTGGAAACGCAACCAAAAACGGGCCCCGCACGGCTCGGCACGCTTAAAGCGAGCTCCGCGCTGCACTGGAAACGCGCCATTACATCACCAGAAGTCCTAATTTAAGGGGTAATTTCTCCCAAAAAAAAATGAAAATGATTTTTGTTCAGGGAAATATGTTGTTGCGTGACACTAAGGACAATTTTATCATAATGTTTTTATCTGAACAGCCAAACAAAAGCAATGGCGATGTCTTACTTGTTCTCTTCTGATTTAACCATTCACACCTGCTGCTGATTACACTCGTCAGCAGCTCTCTGAGAAGCTCAAATCTGTTCACATTTGCAACCCATTAGAGAACTCCTCCTGAAATGTTTTGACTGATGCAGACATTTTGACATCGTCAGTTTTTTCAGGTATTTCAGCTGTCACAATGCTTTTAGGGTGCACCAAGACAGGATTCATAGTCAACAGACTCGTTTTGCTTAGAGACATTGCGGTTGCTACAGCTGACATAAGTTAGTGGATATTTATTTTGTTCTTTTAAATGATTTTACAACCTTTGGTCGAAACAACAGAAAGCAGAGTCCTCAATTGTTAAAATTCAGATGTAGCTTAAATAGTGGTATTTTAGCAAGGCGTTACCTGACATTAATGTGACAGTTAAGCAAAAAACTAAAGAAAATGTTCTTAAGATAAATATAAGCACAAAAATACGCATTCATTCCTGCAACATTTCTAAAATACCTCATAGCTGACAAAGAGAGTCAGAAAGAAATGGGAGTTTCTTCTATATTGTCAGTTTAAAAGGAACATATTTTTGGACCCTGGGCAACAGACATCAATCTCAAAACAGTGTTTCGTAACACCTGGAGGCAGTTTCTTTGTCCATGTTGATACATTTGTCCAGATCCTAATCAATATTTATCAAAATGTTGCACAAGCTCTCCTCCTGCTTTAACATTATCTAGTCTCCTGAGTTTCTCGCAGAAGTTATTTTGGAAATTCTGAAATATATATTCGGGAATATGTGCAAGAATCAAAGAAGGTTTGAAGCCTGCTTTTGATGTTAGGCTATCCACTAAAGAGATGATGTATTACTCTTGCTGCTTCAGAGCTTAATTTACCTCTTAAACTCCATTCAAGTTTTCCCAACATTTGACGTGATAGCTAGTAGGCTAGATTGAAATGTCAATGAACTTTCTTTTGTTGTTAGAATTTTGACTAAACGGTCCAAATTCATACACTGAGCGTTCACAGTGTATGACATGGCATGAGGACTTGCCCTCTTCTCCAAATATGGTCACTTCTAGTTACAAAAAAAACAAGAAAACTGTGGCTAAAATGCCAAACTCAAGGCTTCAAAATGGTATCCTGGTGGCTGCGGCCACTTTTTGAATACAGTCTATGCTTAGGCCAAATATTTTGCCCCTCATCTACTTTCATGTTTTAATTGTTTTCGTATTTCATTGTAACTGATCACTTTTGAATGTAAATTATCCTGAGTTCCAGCATCCCAACAGCAACAAAACAAACCCACAGCCCAAACCTGTTTACAGGCAATACAACAAACATGTACAGTGGTACAAATCCACAGCTGTTTGTTGAACTGTTGCCATGGAGCTGTATGTATTTATAGATGCAAATGTGTGTGTTCTTGTGTATGTGTGTGTGTACTCGGCCAGAATCCATCACTCCTCCATCATGCCTCACAGATACATACAGGATCCACTGTCATTGTTGTCCTAACTCCCCCGTCCATGTGTTTCTGCTGTAAAACAATACTGCCAGCACGCAGAAACACATGGGACGGATGTTTCCAGCAGGAGGATCAGAAGGCTTTCGTTTAAAGCACCAAACACAGTGTGAGCATGTACTGTATGTAGTGCAGTGTTTCCGTTTGCAACTATTTTTTTTTTCTCATACTGATATTCTGAACAATCTGTGCTATTGTGTTAGCTGTAAAGTATCTCTACTGTAGGCTATTTTTATTATATGTACAGCACTTTGGCTCGACCAAAAATAGTTTTTAAATGTGCTATATAAATAAAACTTGATTTGATTTGATCCAACTTTGACCGGAAATATCTCTTAAGTCCAACCAATGTCCAATAAAAGTAATTCTGCCTAAGTTCTATTTCAAATGTATTAAAAATAGGCTGAATAGACAAGTCAGCACTACAGTAACTTCTCTCATTGATGCCACAAGTGCACAATGAAATGCCATAGAGGTGAGTACAGTGTTACTTGCTTCTGTTATGCAGAACAAAATAAAAACAGCGCTTGATTAAAGGTACAATACAAACATCCTTTTAGGTTTCACCCATGGATGCATTTAGAGAACTGGATACATCGTTGGAGGCTGAGCCCCGTTCATTCCTATAAAAAAAGATACGTGGCGCAATATGGCCTGGCTTTAACAAAAATACCTGGATCTTTCGACAATCTTACGCATCCATTAGGCCCATTGAGCGATTCAAATGCAAGTCAATGGGAAAACCTCTCCTAGTTTAAATCATATCTCTCTGAAAGACAACAATTAATTTACATCAACAACTGCAAATCCTCCAATGCTTCAGTCACCAACGGCATCCCCCAGGGTTCTGTAATTGGTCCCCTGCTCTTTATCATCTACATCCTCCCACTTGGACAAATCCTCTGTCTCACCAACTCCGGTTCCACTGTTAAGCTGATGACACCCAGCTTTACGTTTCTACAAAATCTATTTCTGCAACCAACACACACCCAACTCACCAACTGCCTCACTGAGATTGAAAAATTGATGCGAAACACTTTCTCAAACTGAACTGTGACAAATCTGAAATAATCATCACCGGACCAAACTCACTTACCCGCTCCTCCCAGGATTTTTCACTGAACATCGATTGCATAATTGTCAACCCCTCAACTTACATCTGTAACCTTGGCATCATCCTCGACCCCAGCCTCACTTTCCTACCTCACGTAAACCATGTCACAAAAACAGCCTTGTTCCACCTCAAGAACATTGCATGCGTCTGAACCTCCCTCTCTGTCACTGCCGTTGAAACACTAATCCATGCATTCATTACATCCAGAATAGATTACGGCAATGGCATTCTTGACGGTTCACCAGCTTCCAATACAAAATATTGTTGGGCCTATGGCATCACATGACAAACACGTAAATTATAACACCAAGTTTGACCGCTATTGAAATTTGCTTCAAAGGCGGCTCTCTTCCTGGGGGCTTCACCCCTCTTGTCCTTTCTCATCTCTCTCTCCACCATCATCTCTAATGCTATCCGAATAGGTGTAAATGGAAACTCAGCACTTTCACCATCTCAACGCCTCTCTTTTTCTCTCCGTTAATGAAATAGCTCCGGCTTCTCCCTCTCCAGCCTCTGTTGTGCTCAGCTGGTCGGCACCTGCTTCCCTTTTAGCTCGGCTGCTGCCTGGATACTGAAGCTCTTCATCAGTCTGCTTTGTGACCAAGACTCCAGCAACCTTTTGTTTTATCCGATACTGTCTGTCTGTGCTCATTAAGCATCTTTGACAGCAGCTGATGCTCTTATACTCACTCCAGCTTTCCTTTTACTCTCCAGTAATCCCTCTTTCTTTCATCGCAACACTTTACTAGCACTCTACAGATTTGAAAAAGTTTCCTCCAACAGTGCTTTTTATTCATTCTCTTAATTTTTTTTGTGTCATAGTTCCTGTGCTGATTATTTTAAGATGAATTCTTGCTTGCTTCTTAAAAAAGGCATGCATATTAGTCAATTCTAATGCAATAAATAACAACTACAGAAACGAGAGACTTGAGACCTGGACTTATACAAAATTAAATAATATTGATATTTTTAAAGCAGAATTGCTGCACATGTTAATGCTTTAATGTTGCTTATAGCTTGAAGGATTTTCTTCTGGTCCTTCAGTGCCATATGAAATAAATGCGCTGCTGCTCATTGCTAATACTGCTAAGCACTGACAATCATTTTCACTGCAGTTGCAAGCTTTGTTTAGCTTTCAAGGTTGAAGCTTGAAAAATTGGCTCCCGTTTACTTCTGCCAGAAGGGTGAAGCAGAATGCTCCCCAAACCTATGAATGAATTTCCATACAAATGTTGTATATGCTCACACACACTGTTTGGGTTAAAAAAAGAAAGAAAGATGTGCTCAGGGCTGCAATGTTGGACAGGAACAAGTCTGATTTAAGGTGCCCTTGAGCAAGGCATTGAAATGCCAACTGCACAAGTGGAGCAGCTCTGTGTGTTAGTTTGTGGTTGTGTTTGGCAGCTGCCCGGATGGAGTATTTGAACAAGGTAGGGTGATTAAAGAGAGCATTTATACCGGGTGGATCAGGTTGCAGGTGTCTGAATTGTTATAAAAAACGTTTGAGTGATTCAGGGTTGTGGTTACGAATGGCTGGATAAACTCACCCAACAATCACATTGGCAGGTTGGTCTAAAGTTTGGAACGTCGTCTATATTTGCCAAAGCCAGAATCCTTCCCTTAGTTCTTTGACTGGCAATGTCTGTCAGTAGACTCCTTTTCTTCTTGATGGTTATGTAGTAACAATAAAAACATTGGTTCCCAACCTTGAGGAGCCCCAAATATAAAGTAATGTCTACTTTTATTCTTCCCAGGTTGCAAGTTGTGAAATTGACAAGTGATTTCCCTTTTTCAGTTTGATCCTTTTAAGAGGCCTCTATACATACAGTACAACTACTGTATGTAGCATTTAATATTTGTCGGAAAAATAGACACAACTTTGGGTTTTCTAACTTAGACTGCAAGAACTGTACATTTTGTCCAATTTCTTAAAAAACTAATTGCATTAGAAAGGAACACTTCAGAGTCATTAATCAATAATTCGTAATGTAAATATGAGATAAAACATCCTTTAAGATGGAGCCCTGGGGAAAAATGGCCTCTCTGTTCCTTCTCGCGCCCAGCTGTGCTCCTGTACTCTCCCTGATTGTCCCTTTCTACCCGTCTTTTTTTTATGTTCCTCTTATAGTTTAGCTGTTGTTGCTCGTTCCATCACTGCTCGGCCTCCACAGTCACCACCCACGCCTCAGCAGCAGCTGTCACCATGACGCCCCGCGGGGGAACGCTGCTCGGCAGGCAGAGAGCTGGAAGCTGGGAAGTGTCTAAAATATATCTGACACAAAATGAAATCCTCCTACTGTCCTCTGCCTCTCTGTCTGCATCTTAACTGCTCATATAGATGTGAATTCATTCATTATTTCTCAGTCTGTTGTATTTTTTGTTGTAACACGTGAAATATGAATTTGTTTCATAAATAAAAGCAATTAAGGTGTAATGGGTTTAATATTTCCTTGAGGCGTGCACTGGTTTGTATTGTTTACAGGAGATGGCCACAGACAAAAGTTTTCGCCTTCTTCCACTTCCTCTCTTGTATTCGCCGCCCTCAACACTTTGCGCACTTGTTCGTGTACCAGAATCAGACGGTAACCTTGGTGATGTTTATCAGCTTGTTAGCTTGTGGATACTCCTACCTGCTGAGTTTGGAAAGACTCACTGCTGCAGGTGATAGTTTGACTCTTTTCAGTTGTACTTGTTTTACATTTAGATGTACTCTAATCTCTGATTTATTTCCTATCCTGCATACTATTTTTAACACAACAAACACATTGTTAGATTGTTGTTATGTTACTTAAAAAAATATCACTGCAGGGTTAGGTTAAGGTTATTGTGATTTTCAAGGACTATAACCTAATATTTCGTGAGGATAATGAAGCATTAGTTTCAAGTAATGCCATTAGATCCTGTTAGCTAGCCTGACACACTAGATGTTCTGTACCACAGAACCACCCGAGAAGTCGTCTTTGGAAAGCTTTTGTAAAAGGGCAAACTTTCAAAAATGCTTGCTATTCGATAAATAATCTGGGTTTAAACGTCTATGACAAGATAAGGTTAACCAACCAGATCAACATAAATAGACTGACAACAATGATTTCCTTAAGATCTCGAGAAATGGCAAAACTAGCTGCCATGCAAGGTAAAAGCTCAATGACAAAAACTCAAATGTATATACAGAGGTTTGATTGGTGTACTGGGGCAAGACTTACATTTCCAGGAAATTGGTGACATTTGAAATCCTTCTCCTTACAACAATTTCCCCTAATGCCTCTTTTAACCTCCTCCACCATTCAACCTCCTATATATTTCATAGCAAAATGGTTTAATATAAACAAGGGCAACCTTAAAGAAACATTCATATGAGCATTATAATGTATGCAAAGAAAAATACAAGTATTTGTTGTTACCTGGCATGCTGATCCAGTTTGCCTGTGGCATGGGATGAGGAACCTGCAGAGGGACAGGTGGCGACAGGGTTTGAGGAGGACAGAACTGCGGGGGATCTCTGGGCAGCTGTAAGGGTGGAGGAGGAGGCGGCGACGGGTATCCTGTGGGGGGGCAGCCGAGTGGCCCCATCTCTACGGTTCGCAGACACTGCTCCCTCAGCCTCTCCTCCTGGTGGCGCTTCAGCCGGCGCTGCAGGAAGCTACAGAAGCAGCAGAGCATGACGATAACGGCCCAGACCAACCAGAAGCCGGAGAAACAGGCCAGGAAGGTGTAGGTGCCCTGAGACATCACCATGGTGGGGAGAGGAAGGGCTGAGAGGTCCCCCAGAGACAGGAAGAAGTGATGTAAGGTACACAGGGTGGGATGTACGCGTTGTCCTCTGGACGCTGTTAATCTGTGCAAGCTTGTGGCTTGTGTTCCCACGGTCAATAAGCAAAATTCTGTCACTTTTACATTCAGTAAAAAATCAAGTTGCTGACATTGCTATCCTTTGGGCTGTAATCCAAGGGGAGCATTTACAAAATATAAGCAGTTAAGAGCAGTCCAAGAGAGGTTTTATGTTTCTGTCTGCAACTTTTAAGCCACGTGACTTAAATACTGATGCTTTGAAGTCAGTTCAGTGAAAATGTTTTTTTTTTACAAAAAATAAGATCCAATACTCTGTTAACTTCGGGTTGTTTCACGATGGCCGCTCTTTCAATTCTTTACACAGACATTAAATGGCTTATGCTTCCTTGTTGAAATTATCAAGAAAACGATATCCAAGGTCCTTAGAATTTCCTGAAGAAAGGTAAATGGCAATCATTTCAATTTAAAAAAAGTTCCCATGGATGGTTGATGAGGAAATCCATTAGGTATAATCTTTAGCTTTACTGACAAAAACTGTTACATTTCTGGATATATTATATATGATTCACAGTTACAGCCTTGGTCGTGTTTAAGAAGGGCCGTCAATAAAAAGTAGCATCCTCAATAACATGTGCGATCACCTACATTAGCATCCTCATTAAATGAAACGTAATTTAAATGATTTTCCTTGAAGAAGGTTCACAAAGAATCTAAATGCCGAAAGTTAATGATGAGGTTAATTGGCTTGGTGACAGCGGCGGCTTGCCACAGAATATAAATTACAGGATATTCCACGTTCAAACAGAAACTGGGCAAACAAAATATAATGTGTTCAAATTGCCTTTCTAGAAATGAAAAACCTAATGTGCTAGAGCTGCAAATTCACTGTAAACATTTTTATGAAAATCTTGATTATGCCCTTTTGAAATATCAAAAGATAAATACATTTCAACTCATATCAGAGTCTATATTCATTTCAAAGTTACTGAATGGTCCAAAAGCTGTTTAATAGTTCCAATTAGTTCCGAGTTAAATAGCAGGAAATTAAACAAATCTTTCTTTCTGCATGTTAATCAGCTGTATCCGTCCAGAGGTCTTTGAAATCAGCAGCAGCAAACATCCATTTCAATTCTCCAAAGGCTCCACCAGACTTCTTTCAATAATCCACACTCAGCCAGTGGTGGACACTGAAAAAGGTTTCAATCTTTTCGGATGGAAAATAAAGCTGTAACTTCATCTAACTTTTAAGGCTGAACTTCAAGTCCAAAATACAAGAGGAAAAAGAGAAATTGTGGAATCTAGAAGACACAAAAGCCTGGATGAACCGAGGCAACGTCCAATCAGAATAGGCCAATAACTCAGAGTTGATGTGTAAAACCCTGTTGGACACGTTCTTGGAAGTGAAGTCAAAAAGCTGGTCCCTTCAGGGCTGTGGAGGAACAGAGTCGGGGGTCCGTCTGCACCACAGGGACGCCAAATTCTTCCCTTTCAGATCCCAGCGGGACTCCTGGACCTCACGCTGCTCTACAAAAACACAAAGGGGAGGGATGAGACCATCGTCAACGAATATTCAGAGGAAAAACCCGGAACATTTTCACACAGTGAGATCTCAGAGCAGTAAAAACAGCGCAGAGGCCATGTGCTTATAAATCTCAGCTGTTCAGGCAGGATTATGACACCGACCTCGGGGGGTAAGTATCAGTTTCACACTTCAGAGAGCAGCTCACAGAGAAAACATTCACATTGATGTAGTAAAAGACACAGAAACAGAAAACAGGACACTTTGTTCCTTATTTTTGTTAAAACTAATAAATGACTTCAGCTATGTTTTCACACTGAAATGCCAATGACAAGGACTTTTACTTTCAAATTGCTTGAGTCATTGATGGTTAAGAAAAAGCCTTCCAAAATAAAACAACTATTCTGACTCCACGATCAACAGGACTACTTAATAAACACTATAATGGTTTGGTTAAGTTTAGGCACAAAAACTATTGTTTACTACTAAGTTTAGGGAAACGAGTGGGTTAGGGTTAGGGTTACAACTCTCTGTAGAAAGTGTCATCCAACAAGTTGTGTTTGGACTTTGTGGTTTTAATTCATTCTGGCTGTTCTTTGTTACTTGAATGTTGACATTTGTCGTTTAAGGGGAACTGCCAACAAAATGGTGGCCATTTTTCTTGGGGTTGTCCAGATTCAAAATTCATGAAATTCAACAAAAATGCAGAAAATTGACCAGCCATTAGGGTTGGGCAACTGAACAACTATATTTAGGCCTATACATTGCCAATTGTTTTTGGCTTACTTAACAGTCTGCTGCCAGCACGAAAACAGCATGGGTGTTTTTCTGTCAAGTTTCTGTCTTGACGGCGAAATCAAGCAAATCTTAGCTCAGCGAAAGAGAAAAAGTTTAATCCCAAATGGGTTAGATTGCATTTAAGAGTTTAACAAGGAAACTAGGTGTAAGAAATGGGGCGGATACACCTGCTACTATGCAGAGATAGTAGTAGAAAGAAGGCTTAAAGAACAAGGCTGACAACAGAAAAGTCCACTTTAACTCCACATTAATGTTATTTCTATAAAAAAGTCTGCTTTTAAGAATGAAATACAGTCAATAATGTACTCTGGCAAAGGCAAATGCTGGCTCATTCTAATAGATCACCTTGTTTTATATTTCCAATAATGTGTGTGTTCTCCTAAAATAATTATCTGGCGTAAAGGAAACAGTTGGCAACCTTTAAATGCCGAATACATGGATCATTCTGGGCCACAACCACAGCAGAATAATCACAGACAAACAGCAGCTGCTTATCGCTTCTTAATTTGCTCAAATCTCAGGGAGCTTTCCTGCAGCTTGATTAGCTGATGTCTGCAAAATGTTAGCTTGACCCACAATTCTGCCAAAAACTCTTATTCCCACAGTGCACATGTAATTCCAACGATGGTGCCGACCATCCAAAGCCTGACTCCAGCCACCTAGTAGGCTTTAATTAGACAGCAGACCTGTCTGTGGAGCTGACACTCAGAAACTCTGTTTGAATATTTCTGCTGACAGAACTTATACTACCTGTATATTTTTAAATGTATAGATTATCTGCTCATCTCCACATGACTTTCTGAGAGCCACCCTCAGTGAATAGATGACATTTTTTGGCATAAAGAAATAAGATATCTTTTGACACCTACTTGGAACCATATTTGAAACAAACTGTGTGAATCTTCTCTGTATTTTCTCAAGCACTAACTGATTATCTTGAAGGTGTTTTTTGTTACTTAATTGGACACTTGTACTGTATGACGGTTACATTTGAAGCTCAAGTGGCGCAACAGTGTTCGTGTCATGTATTTATTTGTCATCTTCCACCTCCATATCAATTTTGCGATTCCCACTTCCGTGTCTTTTGTATTTTGAAAGCTGAGGTGATTCATCCGCAGAGGCCTTCATGATATTTCAATTTGTTGGTGCTGGTGTGGAAAGGAGCTTTTGTGTACTCCCCCACTTCTTGCATGTTCGATTCAGTCATCATGTAGGAGCATTCAACGATATATATACTAAGACCTCCACCTCCACAAATGTGCGAAAACACACGTACAAAGTACATACTCACTATATGTACTGTATATGCCTATTTAGTCTTTTCTATTTGTCTCTTAGTCTACTATCTGAAATAAACTGATCTTATCCAGAAGTGATCATTTCGACTAGAACAAAAGGGTCAACAGACAAAACAATAAAAACAGTAGTAGTAGTGGAGGATGTTTCATTATAAATCATTTAATGCAGCATAAAAAACTGTTTGCATAGAGACTGCAACAACATTAAAAGGCCTAACAATTACTTTTTCAGAAGGTAAAAGTTAAAGTTCATGCTTCTTTGTAGTGAACAATAGTGATTTGAAGTGTTTATAACAGTCTGTTATTAACTTGAATACATTGTTAACTTGGCTTTAAAAATCCTCCACCACTGATATCATACTTCAAAGCATTATATACAGTGCATTTGGATGATGAGAAGTTAAAAAATCTAAATGCTTCCGTCTAATTAGAACTGGTACGTTGTGTACAGTTTGTTTCAACTGGTAAACTAAACAAAACAATATTACAAATATTTTAAGAATCCTCTTTAAATGTTACTTTCCTCCTCAAACACAGGATAATAAAACCAGTTTCAGGTGGATCTCTTTATCCAGCCAGTGGAACATGTGAGGATTCAGTGTTTTTGCTTCAAGGGCACTCTCCAGGCCTCAGCAGGCCACTTCATTTCCTCTGAGGCTTCAGAAAGCAGCATGTCTGTCGTCGCATTTCACTCAGAGTGAAAACACACACATGATCGCTGGATCCAATAGAGGTTGGGTTCAGACGGAAATCTTAAGATTACCAAAAAATGGTTCCTTTGAAATTAATTTTCTTTTTACTACTTGTGTCCTTGCATTCTTTAAACTTTACTCATTTCATAAAGATCATTGAACTTCACATAAACTTTTAAAAAGGTAAACTTCTTACTTTTCAGCAACAACATTTAACAAGGTTTTGACATCTATATTGGTTCAAATAGTAAACTGATATGAATACATATCCAGATTATGCATGACAATCCAATTTATATGTTTCGCATTAGAAGATCAAACTGAATGTAAAAGGCCCAAAAACACTTGAAATATGTGAAAAACTTCACTCGGTATCCGAATACAAATGATCAGACACCAAATATAAACATAAAAAGACTTAGTTTATGTTTTCAGGTTATTTTCTATCCTCTAAAATGCCCCCTGCTGGTCCTGTGAAGCATTAACTCACAGTTTTCTCTCTTCAGGTGTTCCTAATCAGGCCTGATTGGGCAAGTGTTTATATAAAGAGGGAAGGAAAGACTGAGCAGATTGATGGGACTCATCTGCAGTTTGTTTCTCTTTGCAGCTCACTAGCTTTGGGAAAATGGCTCCCCTCATGCCAGTCATGTTTTGTTGGCCTTGGTGTTCAGTCGTTTTTTGGGAGCGTCGAGACGAGGCCCAATGTATGGTTATTTTTGAAGAGCCATCTTTTATTTTTGTTAAGTTTGACCACCCTAACTGTTTTTTCAATCTTGGGTCACACATATTTAAAGCCAGACTCAGACTCAACAAATAAAGCTCTGTTGCATTAAATGATATGCTAACAAAGACAATGCTATGACATGCATGGCATGCTAACATTTGTAAACTTTAAGTAAACCCAAAGAGCAAATGAGGCAGATGTGTTTGGTTGTGCAGGTATATGAAAAGTAGTATAACAAAAGTTGTGATCCCTGAGGATTCCCCCTGTATGCTAGGCTAACACGGCTAACACATGTTCAAGCCCTGAAGCACCACATCATTAGCTAAATGTCATCTTTAGCTTTTACTCTGCATCTTTCAGTATCAAGTGTTGGCTTGTCCTTCATTAACACTTATGTTTATCTAAATTCACTGGCCTGCTCACACATTGATGTGTAAGATAAATGTGATAAGATGGTGTAATGTAGGCCTACAGCAATAAATGAAACAAATAATGAATTAATGAAGTACATGATACCACAGTCACTGGTACATTTTTATATATAAAGCCATGTTAGGGAAACTTCCATCCTATATCTGCTCCCTGATCTCACGGAAAATTATAAGTGGCTACTGCCTGAGATCGAATGCTGTAGTTTTATTAAATGTGCCAACTGCTAGGACTGTCTTAGGGAAGATGGCTTTTAGATGTGCAGCTCCTCTGTCTTGGAATAGTCTGCAATTGAAATGGAAACTGAGCAATCTGGTGCCACTAAATGTGTTTAAAGCTCGGTTGGATGCTACTCAATCGGAAGCTGTTGGTACCTGTTCATGTGGATAGTTATGTAAATTGTAAATCCCTGTAATGATGCTGTATGATGTCCTTTTTGTTGTTCTGTTTATGTTTTTATGTATTCATGTGGAACCTACTTGAGCAGGTCTCCCTTGAAAAAGAGATCAATGATCTCAATGGGATACACCTGGGTAAATAAAGGTTTGAAATGAATACCAAACGTACACAGTTTTCTTTTAATGCACCTTAAATACTCAATTTTAAGTATACAAATATGGAATATACACCAGTAAAATATGTATTCTGTGGGGCTGTCATGGACCAAAGAAATTGATGAATACATTTTTTTTTTCATAGTTTCTTCAAAGATAATTTGCAGAAGGACCACTTTAAAGGTTTAGATATGTGCTTATTAGTTTCATAGAAAAATAAATCTTAGGTGACTAAAAGCAAAATAACTGATTTGGTTTGCTAGTGGTGTAGACGGTAAACACAAGTATGCACAGGATATCCACCTTTCATTTCATAAAAAGTCTTCCTAAAAAGTCTTGTCTGAAATGTGTCTTTTTCCACCCTGTGTTTCAGCATCTCTATCTTCTGAATTAAAGTCAATGTGTGTCAAGTCATCCAAAACCTAATGATGATTTCTACATTACGCAATAGACGCACTGCTGTGTGTTTTTTCCTCAATGTCCTTTTTTTAAAAATATCCTCCATCTGAAAAACAGCAGGAGGGCTTGTCAACAGGAGTGTAACGATTGTTGGAAAATCAGCTACAATAAGCCAATTAGTGCATGTGTGAGGAGAAGGACATCCTCTCTGCATGGAGCTCATGAGATAAGGCGACAGAGCAGGTCATAAAATACATTAAACAACAATTACGTCGAATTAAAGTCACAGCGTGTACACACACGCACACACACACGCACACACACACACTGCACAGGACACCACAGGTCCCTGTTTGAATCATATGTTATTTATATTAAAAAACTCACCTTATTTCTAACGAGATGGCGCACTTAAGTAGCTCGCTCCATGCCATGTAAGTTGTATGTCCAAAATAAAAATAAAAATAACTACAAAATCGATCTTAAAATATATATTTTTTATAATTAAACCACTTTCTTGCATCCGTTCCCTGACCGGTTCGTGTACAATCCACCGGCTATTGTCAGATTATCGCCCGTAAAGGATGCGAGCTCCCCGGCACTCTGTCTCCTCTCGACCGGGAGCAGGACAGGAAGGCTAATAAAAAAGGGGGTTTATCGGTTCACCTTGACAGCCTGGCTCCTCCCCCTCTTCCTCGCTCTCCTCTCATTCAGTCCCTCCTCCCTCTCTCCAGCTTCGTGACAGCAGCCTGTATGTCTGAATGATGATGAAGAATACTGATCATGTGCCGGCAGGGGTTTTCCAAGGACGCGCACGACTTGGCACAGACCGGTTGACTGTGGAGAGGGCGTGTAAAAGTGTGAATTATTTGGGTGATATTCACAAGCATATGCCAAATATTATACACGGTTGTATTTGCCTGTCATGATTGCTCCCTCGCCTGCAAACCTTTTCCTGTGCTGACATTGTACACAAGGAGGAAAGCAACAACCCTTTTAAGCTGTAGGATGTGGATCAGAAAACTGGTTTCAATTAATTACTGCAGTAAATGTACGAAGAATAGACACTGAAAATGTATTCCAAAATTAACATGGTTGTGATTTGGGTGTGTGCCCTCTGATGGATGGACATCATCTAAGGTTACCCGTTCATTTTACTATGGCGGTCATTTTTGAAATTTTTGAAATTACTCGTAAATGTCCCAACTTGTAACCTGGGAAGGGTCAAAGTAGATATTTTTTGGGGGATCATCAAGGTTGGGAACCACTATTTTTACCGATACCCCATCCGACAAGAAAACATAACATCTACAAGATTTTGTAGAAATTGTGTTTTCGCTATTGACAAATGCAAATTAACCCTACTTTAGACCGCCTTTTCATAGATCAAGGCAGTGCTGTACAGTTCCTGATGTGAAACCCTTCTAATGCTAACTCTAAACACGTTTTTTGGGGCCCTTTTGCCTTTTTTATTAGACAGGACAGATGGGTGCAACATGCAGCAAAGAGACACAGGTTGGATATGCAAACAGGCAGCTTTGGAAAGAACACAGCCTTTGAACACGCCAACAAATTTAAATCGCTATAAACAGCTGCTTCCAGTTGATAGCCCATGTGTTAGAGAATAAAATGTTCCTGTGATTAGCCATAACTCTGCATCATTAATGTGTTTTACTTTAGAGAAAAGGGTGGTGGTTTCCTTAACAACCGTCAGAGTTCAAGGTCTGAGCCCAGTCTACCTGCAGCTGATTTGACTGTCAAACACGCTGCTTCTTCATTAGACTGAAGTCAAATCACTGTGAGCACACAGCCTCTGGGAACAGTCTATTTAACAGAGATGTAATTGGAATTCTGTAAGGCAAAAGAAAAATGCATTTGAAATGTTGAAATATCAATCTGTCTGGCACAGTGAATTGAATTTGACTTATCCCAGACATACAGATTGGAGTTTACAGAGAGGATATAGATAACAAAGTTTATAAAAAGTAAGCACCACAGTAATTGCTGCTGGTGGAGGGCACATGCACAGTAGACTACTTCCCTGCAAACTATATTTTCTGTAGGGGGATAGCAGGGCCATGCCTGAACATAATTTTTTTGAGGACCTGCATTTGCATAATCATAAATGTGTAACCTACATTACAACCTACTCACACAAGAGCAAGTTTCAAACTTCTCAGAATTTAAAGAAGAAGAAGATAGACCTTTATTGATCCCGAGGGGAAATTCAGTTTCCACTCTGTTACACGCACATGCTTTTTATACAGGTGCATACAAGTGCACACAGTTATGTTTACAACATGCACATACATATACAAATACACTCACAATTGAGAGGTCAAAAGAGGTAAAATCGTGCATCAACATATTGGAGCAGCATTTAGAAACAACACTGCAGTTCTGCAGACCTCAGCGTGAGCTCAGAAGTTTGTCACCAAGCACTGATGAGAAAGAGACCTCGTATATAGGGTTGAAACTGGCATCCTCCTGCAACATGACAGCAATAAAACAATACAGGGACGATAGCACCTAGTTAGGATGCCACCTGGGCGCCTCCCTAGGGAGGTGTTCCAGGCACGTCCAGCTGGGAAGAGACCAAGGGGTAGACCTAGGACCAGGTGGAGGGATTATATCTCTTCGCTGGCCTGGGAGCGCCTTGGGATCCCCCAGTCAGAGCTGGTTGATGTCGCCAGGGAAAAGAAAGTTTGGGGCTCTCTGCTGGAACTGCTATCCCCGCGACCCGACCACGGATAAGCGGGAGAAGATGGATGGATGGATGGATGGGACGATAGCATCGCTATGACAACAGCTCTCTGTGGAAGCGAGGGGCTAACAAAATACATTTAATAAAGAGAGTCGTCAACTGTCTTTGTGCAGAGAACTGTTGAATTCCCAGGAAATGAAATACCATCATAAAGTGTTGTTTACTCACCGTTGAGGTTCAGATGTGCAGTGTCATTGCAAAACACTTTAAAACAAGTAAATGTTGTGGTAATCTGCCACTTTTTCATTTCAATTAGATACCAAAGGCTCTGTGTTTACCTTTTACACCAATACAGAAGCTTTTCTTTTAACAAATCTATATTCCACATACGTGTTTATTTCTAAAAACACAACATCTGCAAACCTACTATCCTGTGGTGTTTTTAACCAAACCCAGAGATGCTGGGAGGGCAGGACCACCGGCAGCTGCTGGAGGACCGGTCGAAGAGGCTTACAAAAAAGTCACAGAGACACATTCAGAAAAGCTTTAGCAACACACTTCGGGGAAAACAGTGTGATAAAAGTGCTGCTTTTTTAGACTCATCAAAATAGGATATATTGTGTCCATTGTGACCACTTAACTGTTTGAAATCATTTGTGTGACTCATTCCTGTGTACGTTTTTACAGATATAAAAAGGCTCAATAGCATGCTGATGAGATGCCAAAGTGCTGATTGCTCTTTTTTTTAAAGTCTCTTTCCTGTTTCCTGCTCCATGTTTAGGCATTAAGTGGCCCACATGCACTCCTGGGAAAAGAAGCATTTGAGGGTCATGAGTCTCCTTCAAGTTCTTTTTCAGATCTCAAACAAAAGCTTGATTCTTCTCTGGCTTTCGTTAAAGAAGATGTGGGCATACAGTATCAAAGCTTTAAAAGAGCCCTCTAGCTGGTACTGAAGTTGTTCATAACCTATTGCCACGGAAAACATGAGACAGTGCTGGAAAAAAACAATACACTTCTAAAACGGTTTTGACAAAATCTGATACAGTATTATGAGATCTATGAAGTGAGGATTTGTTGCTGTTGTACGAGAGTGCATGAGATTTTGCCAAGGGTAACTAATCAACTGGGTTGTTTTTGTAAGTAAAAAAATATGAAAAGATGTCTTCAATTAAAATGTATAAAACTGGTCATTTTTACAAGATATTTCCATCTACCATCTTTCTGTGAGCAAAGAAGAAGAGGCACAACTTAGAAAACATCTTCTGTTTTTCAATTTCAATATCATTATGTAGAATTCATATTAAAATATAGTCACTTTTAATACAAATAAAACCTTAAATGCACCATTAACTATTAACAGTTTATTTACAGTTAAAAGTGGCCTTTTAAGAATCCCCTGGAGAGGATTTCATTATGCAGTCTGTTAGAATACATTTAAAAAAAGGTTGTGTTTTTTTCTCCTCGTGACCCCAACGTCTAATGTATGGAGGCCAGTGGGTATCATTGACATAAATGAAAAAGTCCTGTATCGATAAGATGCTGATCCTCCCTTTCCATTACTTAATCCCTTTTCAAATCTGTTTCTTCTCTCATCCCTCCATCCTCCCTTGTTTATTCAATACTGTTAATAATTCTCCTCTTTCTGTAGGTACCAGATTATGGTTTGAAATAGATTGAGGTTATATAGCGCCATATTGACCCCCCTAACTAATTGACCAATCAAAAAGTCTACATCCAAACTAACAGCTGTAAGAAAGCTGTGGTAAATGTAATAAGTAGTGTGCTATCACAATTTCAATTCATTTCATCCTAGTATGTTGACATCTCTACTGTACTTTGCAAATAATGATTATTGCCACTCCAGACCACACAAATGTGTAGGCTCACGATATAAATCCTCCGACAAACACACACATAGTTGTTTCCCTTCAAACCGATATGAGCAATGATGTAGTAGTGGTTATTTTTACACTGATGGAGGATCTAAAAAAAGAATATTTTCCTGAGCTGATCGTGGTTTCCAGTGAGATGAAACTCTAAAATTGGATTACACCTGACGTGCTTTCCACTGTTGGAGTCCACCCACGCTGAGTTTGAGTGTTTGAGAGTGTGAGTAGTGGATTATTAGTGACGATGTGAAATGGCAGGAATCAAATTACAAACTATTTTACTCACTCCAGTAATGTACACGTTTATTTCTGCCAGAGTGCTAGCAGCATGTTCACCATAGACTGAAATATCTTATCAGAGATCGGGTTAATTGCCATCATATTTTCTTCATTCTCCCAGGAAGCATGAATCCTATTGACCTTGGTGCCACCATGAAGGTAGCAGACATATTTGGCTTTTAGTTAAATCCCACATAATAGTAGGCTAAGTTGTCAAAACCGAACTAAATCCAGTAGAAAATGTTTCCATCGGAATGTATTTGACAAACTTAAACAAGTCAGAGGATCACCAACGTTTTATGAACTCAAGAGGACATCAGCCAAAGCAAATACAATTCAAGGCTAACCATATCGTAGTTTTGGTCAACCTTACTGTGTGGTGTCAAATAAACAGATTGTGATATAAAATCAGGGGCGGCGGGTACTGTAGGCTAGGGAACGCTAAACCTTCCCAAATATTTGTGTCACTGCATCCTGGTAAAATAAAAATATAATGTATAATGTTTGTGTCTTTGACATTAGCGCTGCTATGCAGCCACCTGTGCCCGAAGCTAGTTCAACAGACCCTGGATATGTTTGAGTTATCTTAACTAACCCTAACAAACGAGATCTCGCTAAACGGTCCTACGATGCTATCAACTCGGTAAATCAAGCCAGGGTTTCTCTCTCCAGCTGAGAGCGCGTTCACGTGAAAGGGGTGGGGTTAGCTACATTTGACCAATCACAAACAGGGACAAGTGTACTGACAGCGCAGCATCATACTTCATTAATGAAAAGTAAACTAATATTAGACAAATATGAACTTTAAATATCCATGACTTTAAAGATATAATCCAGGATACAAGCCACATAGTTGCACCTGCAA